TATATATATATATATATATATATATATATATATATATATATATATATATATATACATATATATATCGTTATAAATATATAATCGGAGAATAAGAAATACGTCACCTAAAAAAATATAATTCTTAACACAATTTTTTCACATATAGCTTTATAAGAGGATCTTTCTAAAATCAAAAGAAAAATATTCTAACATCCAAAAAAAACTCTAGTTACAAGATGCAATCTTACATTTTGAGCTAAAAGTTTTATTAAAAGAGCTTTCCTCTTTTAACGAAGTGGACTGTTAATCAGAAATTTACTAGATATTAGCAACTTCTTTCTCTCTTTTTGAATCAAGAGGAATATGTTTACTTGAAACAAAATACACGTGATACGAAGGATGACAAGCAAGATAAATATTGTAGATAAAAAGTGAAATTTATCTAATTTTAACAATATTGTACATTAACAATATTTTTACTTTAGTTTTAGAAAAATCCTCTTGAAGCATATACAGAGTGTCCCACCTAACTTGACTATCTTAAATATCTCGCTTATGTTTTATGATAGAAGTATGCCAAAGGGGGACATTATTCAGTTCGAGGAGACAAATACTGTAAAAAACAAAAAAATTTTCTCAAGGTTATATTTTTTAGGATTTCAAGGTCATTGTCAATTTTTTATATGAGACTATATCTTTTTATCATCGCGATATGATATAAGAAAAGATAAAAGAACAAGAAAAATTTCTTGTTTTTTATAATATTCTCCTCGAATAATATTCTCCTTTGGCATCCTCCTATCATAAAACATAAGTGAAATATTTAAGATGGTCAACTTAGGACATCCTATATAAAAGAATTTCGTTAAAAATAAAATTACATTTTTTTAAGTAGTATAAATTGTCATTTCCATTATTCTGTTTAAATTAAGTAAGTAATGTGTAATCCCATTAGCCTCTTTGGATTAATTAAGTAATTAAGATCGACATTTATCATTATAATTCCCACGAGGGATACAACGGAAGTAATCTCCTTTCAGGACGGCTTAAGAAGACGAATGGATAAATTGAAGAGCTCCATAGAAGAAGCTAACTTGGCGGTCGATGTGGAAAGGGAAAAGAATGTCAGTCTTCTACATCTCATATTTCCACCGGATATAGCAAAACGTCTGTGGCTAGGTAAATTGCGATTCGTATTTGATCGCGGAATATAGCGATATTGATTTTATATTTTTAAGGAAAATATATTATTCTTAAGAGCGAATTTATTCAACAATACAGTTTAAATACGCTATCTCGCGAGAAATATATAGTTCAGTAAATATTGTTATGTTAATTGTATAGGAGAAACAATCGAGGCGAAGACATATCCGGACGTCACGATGCTGTTCAGCGATATAGTCGGATTCACTGCTATCTGCGCCACGGCAACGCCGATGATGGTCATCAATATGCTACAAAATCTCTATGAGCAATTTGACCTATACTGTGGTCAGTTGGATGTGTATAAGGTGTGCATACTGAAAGTAGATTGCCAATATTCTGATACTTTCGTAAAGAGATCGGTACAGATATAACGTAATTTAACGTAGACCAATAAAGCCAATTAAAGGCAAGATATCGATTGTGAAATATAACACATCCGCAAATGAACCAAGAACGTCGCACGTTTAAAAAAATCAATCAGATATTTCGGTCATTATTCCGACTTTACTCACTAATACTGTAAAAAAATAATGCACAAGTATTATACGACTACCACAAATTTGGAATATTGAAAAGACGCTCTATATCTAAAAAATGATATGAGCTATTTGCGATGTGATATGTTTCGCAATCAGGCTCTTATTAGCTTTTGATTTATGTTTGATTTGACTTGAGAGCCTGATAATTTGTTTAATATCCTTTTTCTTAGATACAACGTAATAATCGTTGAATTATCGTAATCAATCAGAAAAACCGTTATTTATCTTTTGAAAGTCGCGATTGATAATTCGTTCCACTTCACATGCTATAAAAATCTTTCTTGACTTATCATATAATTGCACGAAAGGTACATCGCTTCTAATGATTGTCGGTCAGGTGCGTACTTTTATAAAGTCGGTCAATATCCTATAAATATCTTTCTCTTAGCTGAGATTTATCTGCGTGCAAAAATAAAATGTACGACGCCGCCATCTGTGAGGTAACAAAGGAAGCTGGCTTAACTGCACGGATAATTTCTTATCTTTTATCGTTATCAGTCTCTCTAGTCTCTTGTAATAATTGCAAGTTATCAATGATACAAAGTGAAATTCTTCAAATATGAATTTCATTAATCGACTTCTCATGCCACGAGTCTGTATAACGCCGTTATGTGAGACAAATTGAAGCTTTATCGATTTTATCTTTTATCGATTTTATCCTTGTGTATAAACAGGTAGAAACAATCGGTGATGCCTATTGCGTTGCATGCGGCCTTCATCGAAATACCAATACACACGCGCAACAAATTGCTTGGATGGGCCTAAAGATGATACAAACGTGCTCTCATCACTTGACTCACGAAGGCAAGCCAATAAAGGTATTACACAATGATTACGTCGTGATTACAAATACGATCGTGATTACACACGACTGTGGTGCAATTTCCTCTCAGCGCATTAATAGCAATAATATAATGAATACAGGCGCTTATATAAAATTTTATCACAATTTAGCGTATTCTAATACGGATCTTAATTCTATTTCGTTGGGCGAAACGAAAATATTCGATAAGAAAGTACGACGAACATTTACATAGATATTGAACTGATTAAATGATATTCTATATTGTACTTCGTATTATATAATATATCATTTGTAAAATATCTGTTCTACAAAGACAATGCAAAATAATTTTCGCATCAAGAAACGTTGCGTTTTGTAACGTTCCAATTTCCCTTAAATAATAAAATTAAAAATTTAAAATTTAATAATTTAATAGTAAAATTTTTAACTTACGTATAAATCTGTCCTAACACACACACATATCGTATACTGTATACGCTGCGAGTTCTCTTTCTCTCCGCGCTTCACCTTCGACGATCGGTACAGTAGCGATTCTCTCGCAATGTATCATTCTTCAAAGTTTTTCAATTGAAAGATATTTCTGATTATTACACTCGCGCAGATACTCCATTGTTTATTATTCCCGCCTTGAGCACTATTAAAACTTTTTCCATTTAAAGTATTTCTTAAGTACGATAACAGGTAGACGAACGCCCACACAGTTGCATTAACATTTAAAGCAAGTTACGCGGTATTCTCTTTTCTAGTCGACGTTTCTTCTCTTTCCTTACTCCTTTTTCCTTTTTCTTCGTCTAACTTCGTCATTCTTCGTCATATAACTTCTCAAGCCACGTGGAACGTGGCAAATAGGTCTTTTATTGACTCACTCGCGGTCGTTCTATTTAATGTTCCATCAGATGCGCATTGGTATTCATACCGGGATGGTGTTGGCGGGCGTCGTGGGCAAGAAGATGCCGAGATACTGTCTCTTCGGACACAACGTCACATTGGCAAATAAATTTGAGTCGACAAGCGAGCCACTTCGTGTCAACGTCAGTCCAACTACGTACCTGTACGTGATGATGCTTTTTGATCGCAAATTGTCTAATGCAAAACGTCTAATGTTTCTTCTCTTATTTCTTATCGCCTGTCTCATCCGTATCAATAACGATTACGTGAACGTTTGCAGGTGTTTAATCCAAAAATCGGGATTCATATTGGAACCGCGGACCAAGGACAATCTACCCAAGGAGATGCTAGCCAGTACATCGGGCACGTGTTACTTTCTGAACGGCTATCAACATAGTGACGTCAGCGCGAGCGAACCTCTCAATGTGCATATTCAAGCTGCAATTAAGGAACTCGGAATCAGTAGCAACATGTAGACACCTTTCGACGTGGGGTCACGTCAATCGACGAAACCGTATCGTTGATCAGTGTGTTATTTTAACGATATTACCGTCGATAATAGCGATGACACCCTGATATTATCAGATCAATGTATATGAGCTCTCAAGCTGGCACTAAGAAAGAAAAAGGTACATTCAAAGCATGGCGCTAATTGTACGAACACATTGAAAGATCTTTGCGCGGATACTATTTATACGCAGAGTCTTAGGGGGGTTGTAATCATTATATACTTATTAAATATACGAGCAAGTAAAACTCTACTCATGGACCCCATGCTTGTGTGTCATTTAAGAAACCCTGTCCCGAGGCTGCACATCGAATTGGCCGAATTCCCACCGTCGAAGTGTAACTTGTTACTTGCGAATAAAACCTTATTTCGTCGATGTGACTCGGTTGTAACTAGAAGCGGATGGCTGCGTTCAGCAGAGGAAGCTGTTTTGCAACTGTTGTAAAATTCGTGAATCTGATTGGAGTATGCTCTTAATTTTTGTTGAATCCAAGAGCATGTACCAATCAGATTCACGAATTTTACAACAGTTGCAAACCAGCTTTCTCTGCTGAACGCAACCAATGTTTATTGAAAGGTTACGCGAAACACATCTGTCCTGTGTGTATCTGTGACCTCGACGTCAGATCGATAACAAAACGCTTTTTGCATCACGGGAGCTATTTTCAAGCTGCTTGTCAAAAAGAAGCACAAAGATCTCGTATTGCATCTTTTTTCTACTTTATTATCCTGTAATAAGTATTTATGTTCCAATAGATTCTCTTCCTTTGCTTATTCTCGTATAATGAGTATTCACATTTTGATAGAAAACGTACCGGATTGAAATCTCATAGCCGCCGCATTATCTCAGCACAAAAGCATCGTCCGTTGTCAGACGTCGAGATTAGATAATTAGAAAGTCGTTCGACTTGTTCTCTTTCTTTTTCTTCGGCTGAACTGTGTGAATTAAAATCGATACACCACCAGAGTATCTAATTCCCCTGATAAGAGATAATGCAAAGTTTACAGTAATGCAGCAGATCTCTACTTTATTAATAACGGCTACGTTATTTTTCGTGGAGGGAAACGGGAGAATTTACGGAGCGCGATTTACGGAACCACTAATATTTCAACTTCCGTGAAAGCGTTCTCCCCGAGGGGAAACTTCCGGCCGTTGTACGAGGTAGCGGCTTATAAGATAATAACGCCAGTTTGTGGATCGCGGTAATAACTAATTGTGCCGTCCTCGCGGCGAGACGTAGTAGTCCGCTTATTGAAAAGCGCGGCCTCTTTCCACTTTAACGTAACCATCGTGCGCGCATCGTTCTACCGGCAACACAAAAGGACGGTGGCGTGTATTGTAAAACTGAAAACTAAAGGGGGTGCTTTTACAAAGCCACTGTCACTAACGGCCCGCTATTCGTTCATGCGCTTATATATATGTGTGTGTATGTGCGCGGGCGGACGACTCGCTTGTGTAGATGTATTCTTAATATTTCTTAGGGTGGCATTTATGCGGGGAACGAAGAAATTAAACACTGTCCCTAGCGGCAATGTTGTGTAATCAAACGCTCGAGATTGGGGAAAAGTATCCGTTAAAGGATTCCGAAAGAGGAGATAACAGCACGGATAAAATGTGCGAAAGAGTGTGAGCGGGAAATCAGAAGAGGCAGTTGCGGATGAGTGGCACGGGTGACACCAACAGACGACACTTTGAGTAGAAAACTGCGTCGGAGATCTCTCAAGCAAAACGGAAAGAATTCGTTATGTGTCGTTGCAGTACAACCGTGATAAATAAGTAACAGCAGAGAATGATCGAGAATTGGAAAATTAAAGAGCATTTATCGGAACAAAATAGATGAGCAGACGACATAGAATTATCGGTGCTGCGAGAGGAATCTGCTTCGATTGTATCGAGAGGAAATAACGGCATTAAAATGTAACGAACCTTCTACCTTTTTTATCGCAAACTTGCAGTCCCTAAGGCGCTTAACGTTATAATAAGATAAACTCATTCGCGCAATCGCACAAACCGAGCAAAACGCACAGAGTTCGTATTTTGTCGTTTAACATTGAATTATTTTGTACTATAACACTTAAACAGCGACTGTAAATAAGTAGGACGGCTTGTATAACTGTTAACGATAAGAAAACGAAGTTTCTTGCCGCTAATTTCATTTGTTTCACTTTTTACTTCTTGTTACTGTTTTCGTTATGTGCCCTCATTTGCATTATTATAACGAGATTTTGTCGTCATTAGAATAATTACACGATAAAAAGGACTCCCGTCACTAATTTCGGATAAACCCCTGGAAGCGCGCTGTCTGTCGTACCGCTGTGTACTGAAGAAACTAAGTCAAAGGCTCTCGTGAGTTCCGCAAGCCTAGTCAAGTTAGCTCAGTTAATATTTCTTTGTCAAAAGGAGTGTAATGTTTATTAAAGCAACTTAATTATACTGCGAAATTTCACGAGCCAGTGACGTTTATGTCGCGTTTATAGAGAGCAAACCATATGTGTCAAGAATATATACAATATTTACGCAAACTTTAAATATTACTCTATAAATTGAGTTGTTTTGTGTTTTGGAAATATATATTGGATATATATATATTTGGAAATATATATATTGAAAAGCGCAATTCTGTTTTAATACCTTCATATTTATTTAATATTCTACATGAGATATATATCTATCTAGAAAATATATATATATTTTTTTTCTTATATATGAAGTTGCGTCTTATCCTAAAATCCTGAAATAAACCGTGAGAAAATAATGTATCCTCATAAATTACTTATTTAAGAGCCGTTAAAGTATCGCAATTAGATAGAGTGTAATTGCGTTTAATCGCGTAAATATTTTAATAAGATATGCGAGTCGTTAAGCATCCCCGTGGTAGGTATTTCGAGTGCCTCGAGTTTAATACGTGTGACATAACCCACATTCTCCGCTTAATTACATTCTCTTGATAGTTTCGCACAGTGTGAAGTAACTGGAACATTAGCTCAATAAGTTTAAGAAACCGTACAATGACAACTCGTGGTTTTTATTATTTAAAATATTATTGCCCACATCTTCGTGATATCTGAAGATATATTGTCTCTTCGTGTATATTAATCTCTCAGACATTGCTTGATATACGATACTCAATACTTGATTCTCTCATATCATTAATTCTCCTTATTAGTAATATATTACGCATTGTAAATTACTAGATAGCATACTACGTCGATAGCATATTACGTCGATAGTATACTACGTCGATGTAGGCGTTGCCTTCGGTATTTCGGGCAGCACAATTATTCTCTCTAATCATAGAAATGCCTCTAACTTTGCACGCTTCATCTTGGCCATTGTCACCACTTTTCACGGAGAAGGACAACTATGAGACAAGTCTGAAAAATTACTGTAGCTCCTTCTGCTACAAAGGTTTCATTACAGGACGCCTCATTATTTACTTTCCCATCTGTCTCCCGTTTCCACTTCCACCGTACCGCGTCAAATCATCTTTAACGAAAACGAAAAATAATAGATATTTATATTAATCGATGCCAGAAAAAGCGAGAGAGAAAGAGAGAGAAAGAGAGAGAGAGAGAGAGA